CCCATCTGTGTCCTGAAAACTGAGTGGCTGGGACAGCTGCGTGGGCTGGTGGCCTGTGCTGGAAGGAAGCAGATTGGAATTTCCAGCCACCTTCTCAGAGCTGCAGGTCTGCTTTGATGAGGGATGTAGACAGGATGCAGAGTAGTCTACAGTGTGCCTGGGACTGGGCCTGTTCTCCTAAAAACACCAACACTTAGAGGCCACAATCCACCTTGGCTGTAACCATGAGTGATATGCTACTGCCACCCAGGACGTGAGCTCTTCCTGGACCATCATGAGATCTAGGGCAAATGCATCTCTGTCTAAGTGTGCTGCAGAGCAGTTAGGGACAGTAATGTGAGCTGGAGCTTTGAGCAGGCTGCAGGCCAAGGCTCTGCGGAGTTGTTGCAGCTTCTGCCAGGCCTTGAAGACCCTCCATCAAGTCGGCAAATGTGCTCTGTCTCACTCCCTGAACCCAACCGCCATCTCTTTGCCTACCTTCATTCTCACTGTGGAGATGAGGAGGAGGTGTGTCCTTCATAGAGGGAGGCAATCTGTTCAGCTCTCATCCTGTGACCTGGGCCCAAGTCACACCCAGAGTCCTCATGGGTACTGACTCTCAGGCATGGCGCTCATGGAGCAGTACAGGTGAATGATTGTGTGATGAATAACCGTCACTCAGCCCTCAGACCTCCATCTTCACCACCACCTCCAGTTGCCACCTCCCCTCTTATCAGGAGGCCAGGACTCCCCCAACAGGGCCTCATTGCAGCCACCTCCCTGAAGGCTGGCATTTCAAGTATTCATGGCAGGGTCTAGCTCCACATGGCCGGGGCTGCATGAGGGCAGCCTACTTTCTCACTGTGAATTTGGTGCCCAGGATGAACCTGGCAGAGTCAGCAGCCAGTAGAAGTTCGCCGAATGCAGAAATTTCTCTGTCTTCTACAGCTGCGTAGATACCACCAGAATGTACAAAAATCTGCCAGACTGGAACTTGTGCTGAGTCACTAGTGTTCACAGACTGTGGGAGGCCAGTGGAGTACATGGACCCTGAGGGGACAGACAGATAGGCACTGGTAGCAGGGCCACCAAGTGTTACGAGTAGTTTTCCCGCCAGCCTGGCTCCACAGCCACGTCAGCCCCAAATAACACACAGAGACACTGTATTAGATATAAAGCTGTTGGCCTATTACTAGATTTCTTATTGGCTAGCTCTGTCTTAATTATTAACCCATTTCTATTAATCTAAGTGTCTCCACGTGGTCTTGGCTTACCAGAGAGAGGGTCGGGACCTCTGCTCTCTTGGTCCTACATGTTGAATCTCCTCCTACCTCTCTCCAAATCCTCCTTGTCTCCTAGTCCGCCTATCTTGCTTTCCTATTGGCCAACAGGGCTTTATTCATTAACCAATAAGAGAAGCATATTTACAGAATGACATCTCCCATCAATCAAGGGCCAAGGTTCAGCCTATCCAGCAGCTGGTGGTATTGCCATGATGTGTGAAACTGGGTGCCTCTCTGAATGTGGGTATGGAAGAACCTGGTCCAGCAGCTCAGGAGAGAGTTCAAAGAAAGAAAATAGCTATTTCATGGAAAATCAGCATAGATCCTTTGCTGAGACTAAGTGATTGCTTTTATTTATGTACTTTCTGGAAACAGTGTCTAAGTGTGTGACTGGATCATTATAAGGAAAGTTTTTACAGTGCTCTAAATCCAAGCCTGATCCCTCCTTGGGTGCTGGGACCCAAAGACATGCTCTGTCATCTGCCAGGTGACTGGAGACATCCTGGGCTCTCACTGACTCTGACCTGTTTTTTCACCCCTGTTGGCCCTGCATCCTTCCAGAAGGCACATCTCTCACCAGAGTCTGCCCTGCCTCCAGGCTGGCTTCTGTAGCCAGTTTCCCGGAGCAGTAAGAGTTCTTTTAAAGCTCAGAACTGACTCTGAGTAGTTCACGCCCTGTATCAAACCACGCCAAACTCAGCTGTCCAAGACAAAGGAGGATATTTACCTGGCTCTCAGGTTTGTAATTGGAGCAAGGCACAGCAGGGCAAGTATGTGTCGGTTCTGAGCGTACTGGATTGAAAGCAGCTGGAGGCCGAGGCAAGAGACAGCTCATTCACACACAGGTCCCCTGCCATAGGGGATGTCTCAGTGGTTTGTCACACGAACACACCAAGTGATCTCACCCACGTGGGATGGCATGGGCACTTTGAAATCTGACAGTCCGGTTCTAGGACAGGAGCACACTTCAGGCAGGCGGGTTGCCCTTTCTCACCTGGTGTCGGGATTCACACAGCACCATATCTGTCATCAGAGTAGGACAACCCCCACCCCCCACCCCAGACTCAGCCCCTGAATGCGGGTCAGACTTGCTTTGTGAGAGCTTGTGGGGTGGGCACCGCTCTGTGACCCTGTGATGGGAATGTTGACTGCCACGCCCCTGCCAGCCTAGCCTTTCCATCTGCCCCTTTTTGCCCTCCACGGCTGGACCCAGAGGTGAGTGTTTGCGTCAGTCAACCCTGGGAACAGTGTTTTCTGTTTACTTCTCTCTTCACATACTGTGTCTGGCTCCGTGAGAAGACTGAGGGGCCTTCCCGTAACGTCCCCCATGATAACCTGGCCTCCTCCTCTCCTTTCTTAACGGACACCTCCCTTCACCCCTTCCTCTGCATTTGCTTGGTCTGTTCCCACTGTCTGGGGTCCTACTGCCCACCCCGCCTTCCACCTTCCCAGCAGCAGCTTTGCTGGAAGCCCCCAGGATCTGTTGCCTGCCAGGCCTCTACAGGAAGCAGCTCTGTGGCTCAGCCCAGGGAGGCAGAGATGCTGGCTGGCGGCAGGTCTGTGCTCCCATCCCAGCTCCAGCGCCTGTCCACTCTGTGACCTTGGGCATCTTAATGCAAGGGATGGAAGTGAGGGTTCCTGAGACAACCCGAGGACAGTGCCAAAATCCCTGCCTGGTTTAAGTAGAGGCTCCATGAGCAGATTCCCTGCCTGTTTCTGATAAACTCCTCCTGCTTTGCTGCAGTGTGCCTGTGTGAGCCATTGTTGGCAGTGCGGACAAGGTGACCTTGAGGATGGAGCCCGGTGGGGGGCGGGCTCTCTGAAGGGTTCCTGCAGGGATTAGAGGCTGAGGTTCCTTGCCCCTCCCCCCCACTGCGTGTCCTGGTGCATGCTGAGCGCTGCCCCCCCCCAACCCTCCCTTTTACTGTGACCTACAGTAGAGCCCGATCAGGTCTACTTCCAGATTCGAGCCTCTTCTACCCAGGCCTGTCCTAGAGCGCAAGAAAGGGGCATGGAACGGGCTTCTGCCCTTGGGGTTAGATGAGCTCGGCAGAGAGCACCCCAAGCATGAGCCATAGAGCTCTTTGATTGATGCCATGGTGGGGCCAGCGTGGGTGGACAGAGGGGATGTCAGCTCTGCTCGGGCCTCCTGGGGGTTCCCGGAGAATCTGGTAGCATTGTCAGGCTTTGTGTCCAGAGCAGGGCAGTGCAGTCTCAGGGTCAGGACAGAGACCCTGCAGCCCCACACTTGGCCAAGGTGAGGCTGTGGCAAAAGAAATTGATCAGAAATAAAAGATCAGGAACAAATGCTGTAAACGATGGCCTGGGTTAGGGTGAGAAGGGGTGCTGGGGGTCAGGAACCGTCTCCAAGTGGAGGAGCTGGGTAATGTTTGGGCAGAGAAAGAGCAGAGAGAGAGAGAGAGAGAGCAAGAGAGAGAGGCGCACTTGACGCGCTTGCTTTAAAAAGGGGGGCTTGCGCATGTGTAACTGAGTCCTCTGCACAGCCAGGTAAAGCTTGAGCAGCCAGGTAAAGCCTGACTTAGTGATGACATGGCCATGAGCGTCCCGCCCATCATCGGGGGTGGGGTCAGCAGACTGCTGGTTCCCAAAAGTGGTGACTGCCTCAAAGGCGATATAGCTAGAAAGTACCCCAGTATGATTTGACTGGATCAGACTTGGGGTCTTATGACTGCCGCCCAAAACCTAGTCTCTCGGGTTCTCCTGGTGAGGTGGCTACCTGTCCTTGGCCAGTGTTGGCTGTCAGGAATGTTACATGTCTGTAAATTTCAACCCAGCAAGGAACTTTCCATGGATCGTTGGGTTGTCCTGCCCGGCCCAGGCAGTGACTAGCCATGCCTCCAGTCCCAGTCTGAGGATGGCCTGCTGGACATGGAGAGGGCAAAATGGTGAGAGCTCACGGCCTTAGGGACCTTTGCCTTCCCTGTCAGAGATAGCTGCCTCCTGCAGCTCCCTTCTGAACCTCCCAGGACTGTGGCAGAATTCTGGTGGGATGGAGGAGAAAAGTGTCCCATGCAGTGACCGAGCAAATGTCCCTTCATTATCCTTCTTCCCCTCCCAGATGGCTAGAAGTACAGCAGTTGGCTTTCTTGTCACTGCTATGACCCAGGGGACCTGCATGGCATTGTGTCAGAAGTCAAACCCTGCAGTTTGGGGAATTAGCGGAATTTATGGGTCTCCCAAGAGACTCTTGGCCTCTTAACAAGACTGGCAGTTTTCAGCTGGGACATTTCTGCCCCGTTTGTGGTGCGCCCAGATGTGTGGGCAAGCCTGCAGTTGGCCCAGCATCTGGGATCCTCTTGTCTCGTAAACAGTGTGGTCTAGGGAAGCTAACGGCTTGCCCTTGAGAGACACTAAGAAAGGGCTGTTGCCTTCCCCTGCGCCTTCCTTGCCAATGCTTAAGCATCATAGGGAGACCTTGTGAGCTGATGTCCATGGTGAGGTGGTGTGGCCTGGGGAACACAGGCAGTTATGAGAAGAGCATCCTGTTGGCATCCAATGTCGGCTGGTACCTGAGGTCAAGGCAGACCTGGCCCTGGGTGGTAGAGCTGGGGAAGGGGTAGGCTCTCCTTGTCCATAGCAAGAGTGCCTCTGGGGCGGCCCTGGAGCGCCTTGCCTCGGGAGCTTTTCCCTGGGGTCCACTTCCCCCTTCCTGTGGTCCTTGTCAGCCCCGGGCTCATCTTCTTTCAGCTGAGCATCTCTCTCCTTTTTGCCTTTCAGTCGGGAAGACGTCTCTGATCACGAGGTTCATGTATGACAGCTTCGACAACACATACCAGGTGAGATCCCGCATGGCTCACTCCACCTTCCTCCTCCCCTGCTTCTCCTCTCTGCCTGCGGCCCCTGTCTGGAGACCACTGCCAGCCTGTCTCCAGGGATGGCTGTGATCAGAGGACATGTCCAGGTTTCTGGGGCGTCTTCCCTGTGGAGGAAACATCTCAGGATCTGGGTGCTGAAAAGGAAACATTTGTGGTTGTGGTTGTTGCTGCTGCTGTTTCTTGGGGAGAAATCCCAACACCAGAGAGGGGATCTCTGCCGTTTATAGTCGTGTTGGAACCATCACAGTGTTGGGTGACGTTGGGAGGCAGGCAGAAGAGGGCAAGCTCACACACGTGGTCTCTCCCACATCCACGCACATACATATTCACATTCCCTAGACATCACATGCTCCGCCCCGAGCCCATCGCCACAGGGAGGCATGGGTGACCCTGCGTGATCAGGAGACTGGACATAACGACCTCTGTGGATCTTGGTTTTGGAATCGTGATCTGTGGTCAGCCACAGACCTATTCTAGGTGACCCCGAATGGAAGTCCTGGGGAGCAGAGACATATCTGTTTGGTCTCAGTGGTACTGGTAGGGGTGTTATACAAATGAATTTTCCTCATAATTAAAGTTAGTTGAGTTTTGTTGGATTTTTTTTTTTTTTTTTTTTTTTTTTTTGCCAGTTGTAAAACTTAGACATTTCTTTCCATTCTTTTACTTTTTTTCCGTTGGGGTATAGACAGTTCTCCAATTCATTTCTCTAGGCTGTGGGTCCTGTGGGAGACTAGTTCCCAGACACGTTAGTAGGGGAGGGAGGGATTTCTAGCAGAGCTAGGCTCTTCGGGCAGGGACTGCTCTCAGCCAGACCTCTCAGGGATATTCTTCTCAGTGTGGGGTTCCAGCTGCTGAAAGCAAATACAGTGTTTGGAGGAGGAAACCCTTTGTCATCACATTCTCAAGGGCAAGTATTTATAGATACATTGGGGCAGCTCTTCCAAGATGTCACTCCCGGGCCCTGAGGCAGCTCACCATTCTGTGTCTGCTTGTCAGTCGGCCATTACCCTGGTCCATCACCCTTGTCTTAGATGCCCTCAGAGGGCCGCCTTTCTGTTGCCCTCGGGGTCCTACTTTCACTCTGCAGTGTGTGGACTCCAGAAGGGTTATCCATGGCGAAGGACGGGGCACTGTGGGTGCTTCAGGGCCGTGTACGTGACACGTGGCACATGGCCAGGGCATTGACGGTGGCCCTGCTGTTGTGCCCTCCCCAAAGCCAGGACTGTCTGTGTGTCACTTTGGTCTCACTGTGGCCTGTCCTCCCAGTCGGGATTCTTACGTCACTGTGGGCTGCGGAGCAGAGGTGACAGCCCTAAGGGACTCCTGTCCAGAGTCTTACTTCGTGCCCCATGTGTGCACTCACATGTGGCTGTGTGTGCCTGCGCACATGCTGGTGTCTTATCGTTATTATTTTGACTTCTTTGCCTTTAGTTTTTTGAGACAGGGATTCATGGATCTCCAGCCGGCCTTAAATCTGTTAGGTAGTAGCTAAAGACGACCTTGACCCCTGGATCTCCGCCTGCACCACACCTGGCTGCAACTTGATTTTTAAAATACTAATCTGCTTCCTGTCTTCCGTTGACATCACACAGCAGTGAGATTTTTAGCAGCAGGGGTCAGGTCACCTTTGAAACCTTGCCTCCCTCTTCCCAGTGTCACCTCACTGCCCACCACTTGTCAGTCAAGTCAGCCTCTGCCTGCTGCTTCCTGGGTAGTAATGCTGGCCTGGCATTGCCTCCTCTCTACTCTGAAATTTCTTCTAACGCCTGAAGCTTGGGGCACGTGTTTGCCCTCAGTACAGGGGCCCTGCCACCTCCATCAGCCCCTCAAGACCCTTTGCCTGTAGCATGTTTGTCTCTAAGGCTAGTTGGATCCCCAAATCTAGGGTGGCTACTGTGCGCTTCTAGTTTTCCCCTGGAATGCGGGCCATGCCAAGCCCTGGATCTTCTTGGAGCCACAGATGGTGTCACAGATGCCTACTGGCGCAGTAGTGGCTGCTTGCCACAGTTCATTGGTGCCCCCAGACTGGGAGCCTCCCAGGTCCGCTGTCATGGTGAGGCAAGAGAGATCAGAGGGTAGACATCGCTCTCCCCATGCATGGCAGAATTGTCTGACTTGGGTTTTTATAGCCTCAGGTAGAAACCTTTTCCAAAAGCTCTTTAGAGCAGTAATTAGGCTGAGAGGCTGGGCTCCACTTCTACACACACACACACACACACACACACACACACACACACACAGGCAAGCACGCACACACACATACGCACGCAAACATACACACACACACAATACACACGCATGCACATACACACATGTGCACACACACACCCCGCCCACATTAATAAATCCTCTGGAGAGGAAGGGAACGGCCTGTTTGTTTTGCTTTCCCTAGCAGAGTAGCAGAGGTGGATGGGAGGTGGACCATCTCCACAGGCTCTAGCCGATGAGATTTACTTCCTCTCAGGTTGTTCCACTGCACAGTGACCATGCTAGTCACTCTCCCACCAGTATCCTGTCTGTCCGGGAGCCAATACAGCATGGCAGAGTCTAGATCCACTCACACACTTCCCAGACAGTGATCCCTGTCTGCGCCCCACGTCTCCAGGCACCATACTCTCCACCCATTCACTCATTCTGGCAAGATGCCTGTGTGGTGTAGTGCATGGTCTGTGGAAAGGCAGCAGAAGAAAGCAGCAAGGCCATAGAGCCTGGCCCACCCTCAGCAGGCTATAGAGGGCAGGACCATCCTCAGGGACAGCCGGTCCCACCTTGGGCTGGGGCTCAGCGTGCATGAGGCCTTGAGGGAGTACGAGAGGCTGGGTCCTCTTCTGGACATCTCAGAAGGTTCTGTCTGCCTGCCAGCCCTGGGGACCTTTGAGGAGCATGTCTTTTTACACACACACACACACACACACACACACACACACACACACACACACGAGTGTGCACGAGCACACACATAACACACACACGCTGTATTTTCTGCTGACCCCCTTGCCCAATCGCCCCACACAAATCAGTTCCCCTTTACACACCCCAGCCACACCCCAGCCAGAGGGGAATTGTGTCTGGGTGATTTCTTCGTGTAAAATCCCAACTAAGGTTACTTTCAAGTTCTATGGTAGGAAAAGTCTGGACATACCCTGTAATAAGAGTTGGCTTAGTGTGCCCCCCCACACACCTCCAGAAGACCCCTGTAGGCCCTGGGAAGGGCAGCTGTGTGGAGCAGTCCTGATAGGAGGTGTGGTCCTCTGGAGGCAACTGCTGGCTGAGGTTGGAGATTCAATGCTTTGTGGCCTCTCAAAGGTTCTCTTTCCTGTCTGCATATTAGGCAACTGTTGAGGGATGGCTGGGAGTTCAGACCTTAGCGTTTAAAAAAGAAAAAAAAAAAAAAAAAAAACTGGAAGGTGATTGAGATAAACTGAAGGCTGGGAGCCAGTGGCCCCTCCTGGAATTCACACCATTAGTTAGAAAACAACCTAATGGGCTGCCGGCTGGGAGACGCCCACGTGCTGAAGGGCTGTTCTCAGAGGACACCTTGCTGTGATGGGAAAGTGTTTCCTACTCTGAAGAGGTTCCTAGGAAGCTCTGGCCTTTCCAGCAGTCTCGGGGCTCCTGAGATGATCTTGCCTGCAGCTCATCCTCAAGCTACGCCAGTCTGCTCTGCCCCAAGGCTTCCCACACTCGCTTCTTGAGGCTGCCATAACAAATTACCACAAACTGAGTAGCTTCAAACAACAGGAGTGTATTCTCTCGTCACCTTCCTGGGGGCCTGAGGTGAAACAGTTACAAGGGGGCTGTGCTCTTTCTAGAGGCCCTAGGCAAGGATGCCCTTGCCAGCTTCCGGTGGCCCCAGATGCTCTTTGTTGTGGGGCTGCAAGATTCCCATCTGGTCCCTCTTTCCAGGATCTGAGTAGATGAGGCTGATGCATCGGTGTGGATTCACCTCTTGGCCCTTGAGGTGGACATGGTGCGGCCTCTATACTCTGGGAGAAGCTCCGAGCCACCGGTGGTCACCTGGTGCCCCATAGCCTTGGATTTTATTCCCATTTCCTTTTGGTGTGCTCCTGCCGTGGCCACAGAGATCTCTCCCCCAACACAGTGCACTAACTGGCCTCTTATCTGAGAAGCTATGCTTCCTCTTCAAGGTGGATACACACGCGCACATGCACAGGTACATGTTCATGCAGCATCCACACACACACAACGTAGGATCCCGACACCTCAGCCTTTCTTGACTACTCGTGCATGCACTCATTCCTCCCTCCATCGTGGCTGCATCAGATCCTGCTCTTCTTGCTTCACTCGTTTCTCCAGGAAGCCTTCCTGCCACTACAGCAGCCATCCGGTGCTGGCTTGTCTGGACCACACACCCACGGGACTCCACCACTAAGACACAACTCCATCACAGGCTCAACCACTAATGCAGATGGGGGAGGGTGAATGGGCAAGGATCTGCATGACAGCTGTGATGTTTCTCACAATGTGCGTGCCATAACCACTCAGGGACAGGGTAGCAAGCTGCTTTCTGTATTAGTATTCTTGAGAGGAACAATAAAGCAATAAAATACATTCATATATGTATATAAAATTACAAACTGGATGGCCATTCTTCATATGGAGGAAAGTAACCACCAGAAGAATGACAGACACTGAAAGGCCAGGTGCCTGCCCTGTGACCTTAGGAGCCAGCATCGCCTCCTCCAGGGTACTCACTGAATGGCTGGCAGTGGCTGGCAACGACCTGGCCTTGCATGTTTCCCAAAGGCTGTGGGATCCTATTCACAAAACACACACTTGCAGGTCTGAATGTTTAAGTTTACCAGGCTCATTTGCATGGTAATTTGCATGACTTTACCCAGTTACTTTCCTCCAAAGGTTGGTTGTGCAAAAGGAGAACAGCAGAGTCATTGTCGAGGACTTGTCATGCCCAGCTGCTTCCTGCCATTTACTGATGCCCC